TCGAAGGCATACATGTTAGATTTCTGCGTTGCGACGTCGTTGGCTTGGAATCCGGCAACATGTAGCCCATCACGCCTGCAAATTGCATATTCCCACTATCCGATCTCATCAATTTTTTGCTTCTTTCATCAACTTCAACAATCTTGCCGATTTCGACCTTCTTGCTCTTCCCAATTTTGTTATCCTCAGTTTCTCTGCACAACTGTGAGGTGCCAAAATGGCGAATCTTTGCATTGAAGGAAGGTTTCATCACTATGATGCTACTGCTCTTGATGTGATTTTCCTATGAAACCTCCTCTAGAAGACGGGTCGGGCCAAGCCCTTGGTGGACACAAGAGATCTCACATGCTTCCATCAAACCCAACAACTGCAATTGCAACTTCAACCTAGCCAAAAAAGTCTCCGATCAATCTAAATTTACCAGCTCCGATGGAAGACGACGAGTTCAGCATGGTTTTTGACGGATAAATGAAACATTCCCACCAAGCATTTATGAAATTCACATGGATCTAGAGCTGGGTTTTTGATTTTTCAATTGAATTTTATTGTAGTTGCTAACAGTTTCATCATTTTGTAGATTGAATTAAACTGCATTTCATTGCAACTGACTTTAATAGTTCATTGCCTTGCTTGAAGAATTCTTATTTTTCCAGGAAGCTGTTTTCTAATCTCTATTTGGGAAGATGAAGATTGTAATTGGTTTCATGTGTACACCATGTTAGAGGAAAAAGCATTTTCTGGGTAGTTTATTTTTCCCTACTTGTGGACGAAGGAGCACTAAAGTCTGCAAGCACCAAAGTGGTTTAATTCTGTTTATGCATCCTTTCTTCTTTGACGAATTGGGATTAGGGTTTCTAAAGGAAGTTGATGAATTGCGATTAGGTTGGGATCCATGAAATGAAAAAGGAGTGACACGATGTAAAAAAAATAATAATGAGACATTACACATCAACATCCAACGTGTAAAAAAATGATACATTGACATAGGCTCAATGGAGATCGTGATGGTGATGACATCATAATGATCGATTTGGGTCAATCGATACTTTTGGGGAGCCAAATGTCGTTGCTTTTTTTTTTAAGGGTGGATCCGTCCCTACCAATATTTTTTAAGAGACGATTTGAGGGTTTTGCCTTTTTTGAAGTATTAGAAAAGAAAAAATGATTTATGATTAATTTTTTATATTATATTTTTATATAATTTTACATATTAATTAAATAATTAAATTTATTTATTTATTTTAAATTTATAATATTAAATATATCTACTCATTTAATAATATATAAAAAATAATATTCTACTCATTTAATAATATATAAAAAATAATATTACCCCCCCGCCCTACTTTCAAAAAAAAAAGAAAATGATTAAAATTGCGT